AGGAGAGTCTCCACCACGTCAGCCTGGAGTAGCCGGATCTTGAGCTGGCGGTTGGAGCCGTCGCCTGTCGTACATCGAAGCACTGTTCCAGCGGTAGCACTTCCATGCTCGGCAGCTGCGGCTCGTGATCTCCCGGTCGGCCTTCCCGTCCGCGGAGATGGTACGTCCGAGGTACACAAACCGATCTGTCTGCTTGTACGTCTGGCCGGCGGCGCTGACCGTGAACGGGCGTTCCTCGATCCCTTTCGGCAGCATGCACATGATCTCCGTCTTTGGCTCCGATACCATCAGTCCGAACAGGCCGGCCACGCGCACGATGACCGACATCATCTTCTCGAGACTCTCCGGCGAGCGCGAGACGATGGCCGCGTCGTCAGCGTAGAGCATGGCCCACAAGGCCTCCGCGTCCGTCACCACCGTCGTCTTCTTCCCAGCCGACCTGCCCTTCTTGCCCATGTACTCCACTTGTGTTCCGATCTTGACCATGTCCGCCGGCACCTTGGGGTCCTTGTCGAACTCGGCCACGGCGACCATGAGCATCGCGGCAAAGAACAAGTTGAACAGCAGCGGGACCAGATTGCATCCCTGCCGGAGGCCTTGGCCCACGTCGAACTATCCCGAGTACTGCCCGTCGTCCGTTCGGACGCGCGCCCTCATGCCCGCGTGAAAGTGGCGAATGACGGCCAGTGTCTTCGGGGGCACGCCGAAGCGTCGGAGCACGTCCCACAGTAGGTCTCGGTCCACCGAATCGTATGCCTTGGTGAGGTCGACGAAGCACGCGAACACCGCAGTACTCTTCTTCCTCGCGAGCTCATGGAGCCGCTGGATGGCGAACAGCATGTCGAGCGTCGACCGGTGTGGGCGGAAACCGCTCTGCTCCTCCGGGAGGATGCCCTCTCGCTCGCAGTAGTGGCTCAGTCGTGTAGCGACGACCTTAAGCAGCACCTTGCCGGCGTGTGCGACGAGAGAGATGCTCCGGTAGTTGCCGCACTCCATCGTGTCCCCCTTCTTGAACAGCACCTTGGTTGTGGCATCCTTCCACTGCTGTGGTACGTCCCCAGTCTGCCACACGTCCACGACAATGGCGTGGAATTCGCGGAGGAGACCTTGATCTCCGTCCAGGAAAAGCTTGATCAGCTCAGCCGGTAGGTCGTCCGGCCCGACGGCCTTTCTGTCGGTCATTTGCCGTAGCGCTTCCTCAACCTTACGTAGAGATGATATGTCGTCGAGTGGCACGCACGTGGGCCACCGCTTGGCCTTGTCGGCCGCATGCAGGTCAGGTCGATGGCCGGGGACATGGTGTTGAGAATCTTGTGGAACCACCGTGCCCACCGTTGGCGAATAAACGTGGGGTCCCGGAGGACCTTGCCGTCCTCGTCCTTGATGTTCTGAGAGGTGTACGACCTCTTTCTTACCTTCGAGGTCGATCATCTTCAGGTGCCTGTAGAAACCCGCCTGATCCCCATCGCGGCTTTTCTTCTCGAGCTGCCGCACATAGCCCTCGAAGAACGTTTCCAGTGCGCTCCACCTCGCGGTGCTGCGCTTCTTCCGCGCCGCCTTGAGCATCGCCTTCAGGGTCGCCTCGAAGGCGCTGTTCTTTGAGGCCCCACGCAGTTGCTGCTGGACCGCCTTAATCTCCTTAGACGCTTCGGAGATCTCGTGCTGTGCTTCGCTCGTGTACCAGCCTCTCTGCCCTCGTGCGCACCTCGCCAGCGGCGCGGCTTTAGCAGCGGCCAACATCACCGCAGCCTTCAGCTCGGCGGCGGTCTCTCCCGTTGGCTGCCTGAGCGCCGTGTGCGGAGGGCAGCTGGAGGCCCTGTTTGGAAGGCGACCCGTAGGTGTTACTCAACCCCAATTTCCACCATCGACGGGTGTACATCAGATCACGTACGCAGATCACACACCCTAGAAAAAGAGAACTTTATTCATCCCCAATGCCCCGCTGAGGGGGCGGGTAGCACAGTGAGAGGGGGAAGAGAGAGAAAAAAAGCTGTTTTCTTGTTGTGTGTCTTGTTAGTGTTTTTGTTCGACACGCTCACTCCCCTTCCCCCCCCGTAGCCCCTCGTATCTCACGAAAAGTAGAGTTTATAAGGGGTCGCTCCTATGTTCTCTTATTGAGACGTTTCTTCTTTTGTTGGCCCATGTTGGGCCATAAAAACGTTATAAAAGTACTTGACCTACTTTCCTACACCAGCCAGATTCAGATCGCAGGGCCATCTCGGCGCTGCTGCCGGCGAAGGTTCGAGCGCACGCGGAATGATCCCGGGCATCTCTGGCGCATCGTCGGCGCTACACACCCCATCTGCCCCTCCAGCAAGGGCCGCCACAGGGCCTAGGTCATCAGGTCCTCCGAAGATGAGGGGAACCCTGCTGGATATAATGAGGGATGAGGAGGTCGGCGGCATTGGTGCCGGCGGCGTTGATGTCGGCGGCGATGATGGTGCCGGTGGCGACAGCAGTAGTGACGACTCCTTCTACACGGACCACCCTTCCAGCAACAACGGGGCGGCAACCGGAAGCTTNCCGGGCATCTCTGGCGCATCGTCGGCGCTACACACCCCATCTGCCCCTCCAGCAAGGGCCGCCACAGGGCCTAGGTCATCAGGTCCTCCGAAGATGAGGGGAACCCTGCTGGATATAATGAGGGATGAGGAGGTCGGCGGCATTGGTGCCGGCGGCGTTGATGTCGGCGGCGATGATGGTGCCGGTGGCGACAGCAGTAGTGACGACTCCTTCTACACGGACCACCCTTCCAGCAACAACGGGGCGGCAACCGGAAGCTTGGCGCGCACGGCGCTTGATGTACCGGTACTCCCTGTTGTGATGGACAAGGGTAAAACGCCGTCGAGGGCGAAATCTCCATCCCCAACACCGCTGCAGTTGGTGGCGTCCTCCGCGACCCGGAGGTCCCTCAAACACAACAAGAACAAGCCGTACTCACACAGCGTGGCCTGTCAGCCTCCAGCAGATCGCTATCCCGGCGCGAGGTATCTCCGGCCTTCCGAGGGAGAGGAACAGCTTACTTAGTGTTGGAGAAGGCCCTGGCCGATGTGGACAAGGTGTGTGGATGCCCTTCTGTGTATTTGATTTTCCCCTCTCTCATCCCACTGTTCATCTACCTCTCTCTGTACAATCTCTCTCTCTCTCTCTCTCTCTCTCTCTCTCTCTCTCTCTCTCACACACACACACACACACACACACACACACACACACACGACGAAAGAGCATATATATGTAGGTGGGAGACTTCGCGCTATTTTGGTGCATGTCCCTACGGCTGCACCGGCACCAATGCCATGCGCACGAAAGCTCCAACCCAACCGCTTTTTTTCATGACACCTCTCTGCTCCACCAATGGTTGTCAACCTGCGTGCTTCCAGGTAAGACCCCGGCCTCCAAGCCCCTAACGGCGTCACCAGAGACCATCGAAGTTCCGGAGGCCCTGGTTCTGGCTGTGCGTACCGCCATTGGCAGCGGGGCGAGCATTAACCCGAAGAAAATGATGGACCATTATAGGAAGAGAGTGCCCACCTCGCCAGTTGCGTTTTGGAGGTGATGGCGGATGAAGACCGCGCGTCAGGGGCCGACGTCACCACCGCCGGCCGAAGGAAGAACAAGCATTGCGTTCCCCGGGCGGTGGAGCTGATGATCCCCGAGCACTTCAGGGAGCGCCTTGCCGCGAGCAGGACGCAGTTGTCTAGAACGGAGCTCGACAATAAGGAGACGGGCAACAAGCGGTCGGTATACTTTGAGCAATGGAAGGACTTCAAGGACACGGAGGTGGACGTGAGGTCTGAATGTTTACGGTTTCCGTTGCCCGCGGGAACGTATTTTTTTGAGGATACGTTCAAGTCTAGTTCGTATGCTCACAGCAATCTAGCACCCAGGGTCAGGTGTTTGAATCCCGTCGAGATGGAGATTTTATTGCGAAGTGAGTTTTTTCTCGCGCCCGTTCTAGCGCTAGGTAGCGTGCACTCTTCTCGCATTTTGTCGAAGGCAAGGATCGCAGGAGGGTGGGTAAGAGTTTTAGGGGGCGGGGATAAACCCTTTTGTGTGACAACGGGTTGTTGAGGTCCTACCCAGCAGCAAGAACGTGTGCCAGCGCTCATTTTAACGTATTGAAAAAAAAAGCGATGTGCTTCGTCAAACTCTATCGGCCTCGTGTTCCCCCATGAATCTCCCAACCTTCCCGCCCCCCCCCAAAAAATATATATACAAAAAAACAACACCCTTTTGCCTTGGTGCAGGTGGTCACACACCTCAAGGACGAAGAGCACATCACCGCGGCACAGATCGACCCGAACATAGTCCACCAGCCCTAAACCCTTTTGTGTGACAACGGGTTGTTGAGGTCCTACCCAGCAGCAAGAACGTGTGCCAGCGCTCATTTTAACGTATTGAAAAAAAAAGCGATGTGCTTCGTCAAACTCTATCGGCCTCGTGTTCCCCCATGAATCTCCCAACCTTCCCGCCCCCCCCCAAAAAAATATATACAAAAAAACAACACCCTTTTGCCTTGGTGCAGGTGGTCACACACCTCAAGGACGAAGAGCACATCACCGCGGCACAGATCGACCCGAACATAGTCCACCAGCCCGACATTTCGTACGACAAGTTCATGAACATGGTGAAAGAGTGAAATAAGGACTGTGGCGACTGCCACCAGAACATGCAGAAGTCTGCGAGTCACGAAGAATGGCACTCCTTCTGCCGTGGTAAGGTCTGCTTCTTTTTTTTTGTATTGGCCCTTGTGCAATAGGTGGTACAGATAACGGCACGTGTCGGGGGGGGTACTCCTAGAGAATAGACAGTGGTTGGTCCACGCGTCGGGAATTTTAGTGTTGAAATGTAGTTGAATTCTGTAGCGTGCACCGTACAATGCTTGGGACGATGCGGAACAATAGGCCGGGAAATACAGTTAACGTCGATCAAACATTGCTCAACCCCTGCAGAATTCAATCAATCACAATCAGGGGACTTGCCTTGTACCAACATGTGTTGTGCTTGGAGCGATGAAAAGTTCCGGTCGTGATCATTCGAAACGTAGTTCGTCGAGAAATGAGTACTGTTCGGGCTCTTCGCCCTTGTTAGTTTTGGGTTATGTAATGTGCAAGTGTTCCTCTGTTGGTCGTGAACGCCCGACAAAGTACAGACCCCCCGCCCTCCCCCCCCCCCGGCCGTTGGTGGTTCCCCTCATCATCACGAAGGGTTTCAATATACGCCTTTGAATAATCCCGATTTTCCTGCATGTTGGCGATGCATCGATAACACAAGTAACAACATATTCGCCTGATTGAGAGCGTAGCATCTGATTGAGAGCGAGAGCCAAAAAAAATGAAATTTCGGGTCCAGACGCCTCTTGCCATTTCTTGGCAAGTAGGGGACGGGCTATTCCAAGAAGCGGTGCAAATTGAAGGTCTCATCAGCAGCTTCGCGAGCATATGCGTGTCATCGTCATCGGATGCTGCAGCGAGGAGCTAGACAAGTTGCTAGATTTGCCCAGATTGGCTATTTCTGCTCAAACTGTTTCAGGGCGGTATCGCGTCGGGCGGTGGGCTCTGCTGTAGCTTCTGCTCCCCGCTGTAGCTCCACAACGAGAGACTCCCACAGGATGACCAGGGTAGCGGCTTGAAGCTACGGGCTAGCCCTTCAATTCAAGCTACACAGCAAGCTCCACCTCTCAGTGGTAGTCCGGCTACAGCGTATCGCGCAATCTCGCTCTCAATCAGATGCTACGCTCTCAATCAGGCGAATATGTTGTTAAGTACGTTCTTCCCACAAATACGTGTGCGCTCTAAATGATATCAGCGGGAAGTGCGTTTCCGCTTGCAAGTTCCAGCACGACGATATATGTTCGTGGTGATGTCCACTTCTGCTCAATGTCACAGTATTGCCGTCGAACGATCGCCCCTCCCCCCCCCCCCCCCCCCCCCCCCCCCCCCC